TCGACGCTGCCACAGACTTGAAGCTCTGCAATAATGAGCATGGAGTGCGTCACAAAACAGAACGTGTGCTCGAAAATACCAAAAACATTGTTCTTTATATCCCTGTCACAGGAATCATCAAATTGTTGAATTCAAATGCCTTTCACTTATCGCGACTAATCAGACATTACGATGTGTGCCCCTTTCCCCTAAGTCGACCCATTGCTTCGGAGAACCGGTAGTCACACTTAGCTAATAACGACTTGGACTATCCATCACAACACATTGAAATCAGTGGCGAATTCAACAAACCAGTTAACATTTTAGACTACCTCTTGTACCTCAGCAAAGCCGACTTCAAACCTGGTCGATGTGGAACAGACTGGGCGGAGTCCAGTGGAATCGATGAACCTGGAATTGCCTCGAGTTGTAATCACTGGGTTGTAGTGAGCCATTGGCCATGTACTGGCTGAAAGCCTAAATGTTTTCTACCTGTACAAGTGCTTCTAGTCGTATTTGCCAGGTACGTCTAGCATTTCACTTCCCTCAGTCAATGTGTCGTTTAAACGTGTAAAGTAGGTTGTTACTGATGTCCAATGAGTAATAATCAGTTAAAATTGCATGATTGCAATCACAAGATCCAAGGCAAGAGGAGAATCTCATGGTAATCTAACATAGGCACAAACTCACGCTTGCGCTTTGTAGATTAAGAATAGTTCCGTCTGGGAAATAGTTTAAATTGAGTTATTTTATGATAAATGTTCCGCTCAATGTCTTCACAAGATTTACCGGCATTTCAAATTCCGCTGCTTCATGGAATTTGGCAAATGCACAGAGCGAGTCACACAAATTAACGCTAAGTGAACACGTCTGATCGTTTTTACACGTACGAAACATTACGCAGCCTTATTCGATGCAGTTCTCTTCACCTTCGACCAGATATCGGAGAATCAGCACAATGCATGAATCGCTACAGTCACTCCATGTCTGAGTAATATATAACTTATGATGATTTAGAGAGCAGAATATATTTCAAAATGATCTCACGTAAAAATCGAATCTGTGAGGCCGTTCTCACACGACAAAACCATCGTCAGCACAGTAGTGCATCACACACATGCATCATGCAATCTGCTCAGTGACTGGAGCATTCCGTCCATTACTTTGCAGTTAGTAGTTGTTGGAATTACTTCATGTACTAACGTCTCACAATTTAGCATCGTTTGAGACTAGTGGTTTAAGGTTGGATGCGTCCTATCCATGACTCTTCGGAAGATTGTTCTGAAGCAGACAAAAAGGCCTGTGAGAACAGTCTACGAAAAGTTGTTTTTACGATCGGACAAACACTCCAGCAAAAGACAATCCAGGACATTCTACAAAGTGCATGAGTTGTTCGACTTAAATTATCACCAAAAAACTCCCACAGAACCGATATACATACGTTTGTCTGCAGCAAGCTGGTGTGTGGCGTCGGGTCAGGGCGCACACATGTTGGGCCACCTGGCTGCAGCCAATCCTGTGTCCCTCTGCGTTCCAATGGCATGCGAGGAAGGCAAGCAGCCAACCAGAGAAGGACACGACTGATTTGTAGTATATAATGAGCGGCGTGGCCAGTGTGGTGGACTCGGATGGAAGGCGCCTGACGTGCGGCTCTGGCTTCTGATTGGTCAATAAAGCCTGTTCTGTTGTACCGGTCTTTTTTCCTATTAGGGCCCGGGTATTCTACGGTAGCGGTGGATTAGGGCGCAGAAATATTGGACCACCTGGCCTGAGCCAATCCTGTGTCTCTCTGCGTTCCAATAACATACGACGAAGAGAGGCAGCCAACCAGAATGAGGTGCAGATATAATGAGCAGCGTGGCCAGCGTGATGGACTTTGATGGAAGGCACCTGACATGTGGTTCTGGCTTGTGATTGATCAATAAAGCCTCTTCTGTTGTACCGGTCGTTTTCCTATTAGGGCTCGGGTATTCTTCAAGGCGTCACCCAGAATACTGACATGTTGAATTACGTTGTGATCAGTCAATCATTCGTCGTGTTGCATTCGAGTGACCTTGGAAGATGATCAGCGGCCAAGAAGAAACAAGGAGGGATAAGATGCGACATTTGTAGGCCGGTGAAACGAGTTTAGTAGACTTAGATGGATATCCTCCTGAAATGTGGTTCTGACTTCTGACCGGTCAAGAAAGGCTTGTTTCTTGTCCCAGTCTTCTTCATACTATGACTCGAGTATTCTTCACAAAGACATGAAATCAAGCAAAATGCGTTGAATTTCTCAGCCAATGACTGGGTGACGGGTCAAAATGGAAAACCAAAATCAGGCGTGGTTGACCTTGACATGATAGATAAAGAAGGACTAACTTATATATGGTAGTCAGTTGCGTGTCCTGGATGGGATTTGGTGGCGTTGTGTGAACAATGACGAAAGCCTGATTTGAGGTCAACCTCAGAGCATACTATTGGCTGCCTAATATATGCAACAAACGTGCGGTGAGCAGATGCAGCGATAAGACTAAATTAGATTGTAAACAACGAATCAATCAATTATAGGATTGTGAATTTTAAAGGTTCCATTCAGTCCAAGTAGATTTTTGAATTGTGATTCATCAAAAAGACTTTGTTATGGAAAATCCCCATCACTGGTGACACCAAAACCGCTTTGGCAATGCGGACGTACCTGTCAATATATTCGAGCTACCCATGAGCGTTGTGACATCAAGTTGAAGTGCTACATGTTCTCTTAATTAAAGAGAACAGTTATGTTGAGGTGGATGTGCGCCACGACCATCAAGTACACACTGCCTCTTTATAACAGCGTGCTAGCACCTGTGCAGAACCTCTACTCACACGACCTTTCCGCACCGCTTAAAACTCCACTGTCCTAGGACACCCACAATTGACATCCACGACTGGAAACGTACACACGTGACAGGTACAACTTGGTTGAGCTACCGAATCAACATTTGTCTCCATCACTCCCTCTTCTGTCTCATTTCTTTCTTGAGTGCTTCGTGATGCGTCGTGTCGCAACTACTCGGTGACCCTGACATGGACCTTAGTCGATCGTAAACTTCCACTTTTGACTACCAAAGTATTCGATATAGCAGACCTTATGAAAGAACTGAACACGTCGTCCTGCATCCTCAAGAACCCAATCACCAAGACAACATTGACTTGGAGTTCAAGTGAAACCCACACTGTCCAAGTCATTAGAATGACACCCTAATCATCTGCGATCCTCTACACTCCTTCACATCGTTTATTAATTCGTGATGTGGATTGAAAGATCATCCATTAGCCCACCAACACTCCAAGTCAAAATGAATGTCGTCATCACATTGTGATTCCCAGGAGGCAGGATGATATCTTCACAACTCCGGGCATGCGATTTTGAAGTGTCATCAAACGTGAATTAATGCGTCCTCGTCGTCACGCCAAATGCTAGGAAGACAACGACACCGACAGTAGCGACCACAGACTTGCGCTTTTTAATCAGCACATGGGCTGACATATCAGGTGTCGCTCTAGAACATGCCGAGAAATTGTGCCCAAATACCTTTTGCGTTTCTTGAGCCGCCAACGCTTTCTCCACCCTCACCTGCCAACACCAATCCCTAACATTCGAGAATAGACTACGACGCCAGTTCCAATAGGTTTTCACTGCCGCCGTGGTGGTGACTCAGCCAATCACTGGCGCTGATAATGCACCTGTTAATGGATGTGAATCGCTCGATAGCCACCGGTTTGACATTGGTGCAGAGTTCATTCGTCTATTCCAGGTACATTTGGTGGAGCGTTTTCGCGAAGCTTTGCTTACACATTGCGGAAACTTGTGGCTTTGTGAAATTGACAAGTGGGTGCACCGATAGCAATTAATTTTGGGACGATATCTAGCTCTGTGGTAGGGATCGCGATACAATGCAGTTCTTTCGCAACATTCTCTTCCACTCCATCAACACGCATTTGGATCGTAATACGTTAGGCATAAGTCATAATGCACTGAAGTTTCATGCTGATTTCTTGATGCAAAATGAACGTTGGTAATGATGATGATGTAGCATATTTGAGAACATTTGCAAAATGGAGCAATAATAAACCCAAGTCTGGGGATTCCTTATCTCACCACAAAAAAAACATTAGCTCATTAGCTCTCCACACACTTGCTTCATGCATACAAACTGTTCAGCGTTGACAAGTGTTACTACATCCTGTTTTTTGCTTCCACCCACACCAGACATCCATAGTGCAGTGTAAAACCCTCTTTCCTGTCAACGATAAGTAATTCTACTGATGCGAATTCCTGTTCAATGACCAGCAACTCAATCAATTCTCATCTCACAGTTCCAATGCCTGAGTTTGGGACTTGGGTAATTCAAACCGAGGCTCTTTAACGCAGTTAATATATTCTTCTTCAATCCTTCATCACTTCCGTGTTGCTGCACTGCTACCAACCGACGTTGCAGTGCATGTCTTCGACACCGGCATCGACACCGGTGTCGAAGTGGGTGCAAGGTCCACTTTCTCACCTTCTTCGGAATGGGTTTTTCTTGGATGGGGATATTAAGGTTGGTGACTCAGTGCTACACCAACTTTGGGCTGCCTTCTTCCCTGCAATCATGAGTACGATCGTCTCGTTTCAGAGCTCAGATGCTCCGCTAGAGAAGTTCGAATAAAATCTCGTATAAAATTTACGAGTTTCTCTGTCTCTACCTCCTCCAACGTAAACGTAAGCAAAAATTACATAGACATTTGGAATTTCCAAGCCCAACTGGCCATAAACCCAATACGAATATATGGGTTTTCTTCTGCACCACCTCAACTACGACAATGCTTCGCTTCAGACATGCACATACACGCACGCATACTTGCCTAATTCCGACTGCACTGATTGCCTATCCACAGCACCACTGAAGCCGGTGCAATATGTGCCTTAGCTGCTTGCATCATTTGGATTGATTGAATCAACCGCAATTTCTCCTTAAGTGTTGCATATTTCAACGTGTCTGACGCTTTTCATAATGCTAGACCGAACCTCTCTCCACCATCACCCACGGCTGCAGTGCTTGTCTAGTGTACTCGACGAGCTGTTACACGAATTTGGACCACTTGGATGACATTGAACGCAAGTCCGCAGCACGAGCTTCCTGTGTCGCCTCATGCACTAAGCCTCATGCCAAAGTCCTCTTGATAACTGGTATCACCCGGTGCTCAAATCAGCATTGCCAGCATGAAAAGTGACGCCACATGCTGCATTCAGCGTGTACGGGCTAATTGTCTGTCCAAGCACGCACGCACACGAATCGAACCTGCTGTGGCACACCTAAGCCCCACATGCACCGTTTTTGATTAAACCCACCCAGATTATGCCTTGCATGCACACATATGCAAAAATTAACACTTAATTAATTTTTATGCCACCTCTAATCAACATTCGAAAAATTTATACAATGCAGCTGCTTGCACAGTTTGCAAGAAAGACAATCTATCTATGTAAAAGATTAAAAAATAATTTTACATTGTCCACAAGCCAATCCAATGAGAATACGATGGGTGAATGTGCTACGAGAGCCTTCTGGTTATTGGTGGATTCGAGGTAGAAGCCCTTCATGCTTTGGAAATGCAGATGCGGCAATTTAGCTGCGGCAAAGCCCATGAATACATCATCCACCCACAGAAAGCGCGTGTAGGCTTCGGCTACGACCAGCTCCGTGAGTATATCTGCACCGACAAACGTCGCTGCTCCCTTTACGTACGGTGGGTACTGCGACCACGGAACCTCATATCGGGTCACAGCCCACTTATTTCGACTGGCATCCTCCAACGGATGAATCACACTTGACCGAATCATTAGGGGTCCACTAAGCAGCTGGCGGCGATCCGACCTCGTCAGACGACCCAGGTAATTGAGCACATTCTTCGCGTTGAACTCGTGGTCGTCATCGATGAATAGAAAGACGTCAGATTTTCCTGAAACAAACATTGCGCGCGTCAATTTCACTTTCGCCACTTCTTCTCCACACGCACGACTGCACAAAGCACACCAACATGATATCATGCAGGTTTGGAAGCAGCCTTGGGTTGATATAACGAGATTTTAAAGTGTTGATTTTGCTAAAATCGGCCTCCACACTTTTGTGAATACACTGAAAACACCTAATCAGTAATTAACTCTGAAACCTAACGTCGTCTACAATCCCTCTACTTTCCAAACAATATGCTTGCCAAGAAGCAGTCTGAGACGGTGGGAGAAAACGGTGAACACAACCGCTACCCGCTGCCAGGCCATTCAACTACCTTAATTAATAATGACATATTTGCCAGGATATTTCGGCTAATGCCTTTTCATGCTAGAACCGACTCATTCATCGTAAATCACATCTCTTTGACTCCACACACACACATCAGGTTTCAAAGACACTGTCAGTTTCATAACTCAGATAAAAACGAATTCCGCTTGCATTTAGTTGTCAGTGATTAGCACGTGATGTCGGTGTGATGTATGAAAACGTGCCAAACACCAGAAAGGCCCACCTTGGCAAAATGCAGAAGCCCATCGATGGCTCGCTATGAGCTTGTAGGTCAGGTTCACGTAGGTATCCACGTAGTCGCCAATGATCATGTCACCGAACTCGTCTGCCTCCGCCAACGCTCTCTCCCGAGCTTCGGTTGCCCGCCGTGCCCACTCCACTGCCTTGGCACCCGCCTTCTCTGGCAATCGAATGTCGAAGCCGCCGTTCATGTGGAACAGATTGCCTGCCACATCTGCGCGCGGTTGAC